GTTTCGATAAGGGTTTTTATCGATAAAAAAATATCGAGATGAGTTATCGATTTTTAATGATAAACTTGATATGCGCGCTGTAATTACGGACATTTTAAAAAAAATTTGAAGTCTCTAGCTCTTATATCTTCTGAAATCGACGCGTTCATACATACGGACAGACGGACAGACGGACAGACGGACAGACAGACGGACAGGGCCAAATCAACTCAGCTCGTCACCCTGATCAAGAATATATATACTTTGTGGGGTCTGCCACGCCTCCTTCTCCCTGTTACATACATTTCAACAAAACCATTATACCCTGATTTCCCATTGAAAATGGGTTCAGGGTATAACAAGTCAAACAGCGAGGCGCATAGCTAACTGATAGATTTACAGCCGGGCTCGATGACAGTCTTTTATCTCTCAGCCAGACTGACTGGCGCTTGAGTCAGTGCTGAAAAGACTCCACTGTAGTCGCTATCATGTGAGCCGTGTGAATCCCATGACTCAGTGAGTGTGACTCTGCGCCAGTTTTTTCCTTATAGTCATATTATTTCACGCATGCGCAACCAGTAACCAGTTTGCACCTGTTGATTGTCAACAACAACAACAAGCAAGCAACAATAGCAGCAGCAAATAAAATAAGAATAACAAAAGGTACTCAAAAAATGTACTAAATATATATTTAGGCCCCCTTTTTTGTTATAGTGATGACTTGCATAGCAGTCGCTACCGGGGTTGATTTTATTTTATTATTGTTGTTATCAAGCCCTTGAATGCATACAATATGAGATTCTAATTGGCGAGTCTTATTGGAGTTTGCCGGCTTTTAGCAGAGACACAAACCTTTATATAGGTGCAATTAGAAGAGTTGATATATTTATAGCAGTCAGGACTCAGCCCGCAGTTGATCTCCTTAAAATATACATATACATATTTAGCGAAGACGCAAACTCTTCTAAGGCTGAATCGATTCTCTTTGTATACTGTATAAGTTGATTCAAATGTTGGTATGCGTAAGACTCAAACCGCCACAGTCGATCTCCTTTCTATGTATAAGTGATATATTGACATAAACTCCTAGGTGATAATTTTTGTTTAAATTAAACACTGTTATCTTCAGGATATGCTCAACCCAAGGCAAACCTTAAGAATGTTAGTTAAAAATTAGTGAAGACACAAAACCTTATATTCTCCAGGCAATAGCCTGATTGATATCTACAATTAGGACACAAACCTGATTGTGATCTACATTAAATAAATATTATGCTTAGTGAGTACACAAAACCTTATAATTATTGACATGCTAGCTATAAAGATTGCCGTCAAGTTCCTCATGTTAGTGTGGACATAAAAACTTATTAGCGGAGCTCTGCTATGCTAAATAAGGAAATAATTTAAATTCGAACAAATAACTTTATTTGTTAGATTTACAAATGTAAAAGAAAAACAATTTGTTATTTGTCAGCTAATTGCTTTAATTGGAACCAGCTGTAACCGAATTGTGCCGATATGTACAGCATTTTTCCGCATTGGTTTAAATATTTAATTCTCGCATTAGAACAGTTCCTTGCACAGATTTACACAATTGTAAAAGTCAAATAATAGCAAACAACAGAATGCAATCAATGCCGAGAGATATGGGCAATAAATATTATATACATATATTTCGAGTGATACTTAACACACATATTTATAATGCTCTGCTCCATTTGCTATACGCCAAATGGCAGTGCGGCATTTAAGTTGTCAGAGATAATAAACGACACTTCAGATAAGCATCCATCGCCATAGAATGCAGCCCACTCATAAATCATGCGAATTTCACACAAAATGCTTTATCAACGCACTTAAGACTAGACACACAAACTGGGTTAGGAGGCCACATCGCGCTAGGCCTTAGTTGTTGAGCTAAGTAAATAAATAGACTAGCTGTAAGTCCCACTTGCATTCATGGGAATCGCAAAGAGAGATACTATTTGTTGATTGTAAATGCTAAGTGTTTATGCCACGTGTATACGATATTCCGTTTTAAATACTATAATTAATCGAGCGACAAGCTGATAACTCAAATCGTGTGTAACTAAGCTGTGTGGAATGCTAATTGATTTGAGCACAGCATATACAAATGTGAACAAAATGAATTGGAATGCTGTAGAACGCGAGGAAACGCTTAGCTTATACTCTGTAAGCATTGTATAAGAGATAAATATAAGTGCTGCAATTGCACTCATACACAATTTCAGTACTATTCGTCTTATACGATTTACCATAATAATGCCATACTACTGTCTTATACTCCAGGCTTTGACCCTATCACACACATAAGTACAGGGTATAGCAAGCGCATCATCATAGATTGTTGCAGCTGAGGATTAATATGACAAATATTTTGTTCAACTCTTTAACATAAAGTTCATATAATTTGCAAAGATGTCAAATGTAAGTGTATTGAATGTGATTACGAGTATTATGCCATTGTGATTGTGATTGTGACTGCTATTGTGATTTTGATTATCGCCATAGCCACGCCTTAAACAATTGCATAAATTGCATCCGTACCACAATTTGCATGCAAAAAGTTCACGCAACTATGCAACGTGCCGCATTACTCGCATTATCAATGTTGCTGCCGCAAATTGCGCAAATAATCAAAGTGGAATTTTTGACTATAAATTTCCAACAAAATAATTAAATGCAAATTTTAATAAAGCCGCGCAGAAGAGGCATGCAATACGTAGAAATACCGATTAAAAACAGAATAATTAATTAAGAATAATTAATTAAGAATAATAAATTAAGAAATTCATAATAATTAAAAATAAAAAATCAAATAAAAGTTATCAAATAATAAGTTTTTTTATCCAAACATATATTAAATATTTTTTAAATATTTAAAAATCTTCCATAAAATAAAAATGTATTCAAAATATTATTAAAATAAACTTAAGGCAAATTGAGACAATGTTTCATATTTTTCTGACCTCCAAATTGATCTTCTCTACATATTTGACTGCTTCGTGTTTTTACAAGGTATTAAAACCAAAAATGTCTTTACGGTCAGTTAAAAGTTCTATTGAATTATGCAAAATTGTCTGTGAAATTTGGCAGTTAATATAAATGAAATATTTTGCATGTACGAAATGAAACAAATGCCAGAACTAACCCGAGAGGCGTTCGAAATGCACTCGGTAAACTAAACAATAGATGCCTCTCAATGGCGCATATGCAATAAATCTACGTATCTCTTCAGTAACATTTATAGAATGTTGTAAGGCACAAATACTGAAGCACCTGTTAAATTCCAATTAAAGTTAAAGAAAATTACGACTATGTAAAAAAAGAACTAAAAATAAAAAGTCGAGCTTCGCGTTTGCTGTTATCGCCACAATTAGCCCTGTTTTGTGATTGTTCTATTTTTGTTTGTATACACCTAAGGGGGATATGCTACTTAACTAACTGATTATGTAACACATAAATAAAAAAAATTAAAAAAATTAAAAAATTAGAAAAACTATATTGTCAATAATATTTAACTAAGATACACATATTGCCAATAATATTGTCTCTTATTCTAGTCTAGATTTGCCTGTGTGTTAATAATTGTTTATATAAATATAAATGTATTATTAACACTATTTAGCAAATGTTATTGTTTTTTTGTTCATCAAAAATAAATAAAATAACAGAAGAAAGAAAAACAAAAACAAAGAAATGAATTGAACTTTAGACTAAATCTGCTCGAATATAATCAAATATAAATAAAGCTGAATCAAAGCAGCTAAAAAAAATTTTTTTTAAATCATATGGTAAATTCATTTCATGTTTTCATATATATATAGATATACATATATTTAGATATATATATTTACCATATAACCAATTGAATGAATTGTTTTATGTAGAATTTGAATTACAGGCGAAAGTTGATTTTAAATCATATTTGCAAAGGTAAATTATATATATGTATACATATAAAACCTAAACAAAATGCATTATTATATGTAGCTCAATTGACATTTTGATGAGAAATTCGCCAAGCAATTTGCAAGCTACTAAACTAACTCGATGTGAAAAACCAGGTTAACAAGCCAGGCCAACAAGCCCTGCGCTGCATCGACGCAAATTTGATTACTAATTCTTGTAGCCTTGATTAAGATTGTTTGTGCATGGGCATACCCTACATCTGGCGAATAAACACTCAAAGCAATCTGGGTGTAAGTGTATTTAAGCTTCGTCAGCTAAGAGATAGGAATGTGTGTGAGTGTGTGTGTTGTTGTTGTTTCTAATTTATTTCCGATAGTGGAAAACATTGACGATCTGCCTGACTCGTAGTCGGTGGGGCCTGCGTTGTTTCAGTTTATTTAATTTTTTATTTTTATTTTTGCGGCGTCTTCACGTCACAGACACACACACACGCACACACACAGGCACACCTACACATGGAGCGAGATACAGATTCAGTCCGTGTCGGCAGCGCGGGCCGCAGTCAGCAGTCAGCTGTGTGCGGGCTCTTTGCTCTAGGCGGTGTTTGTTTGTGTCGCGCTGTCCAGATACAGCGACTCTCGTACTGGGACCGCAATCGTAGTCGCACAGCAACAACAGCGGCAGCAGAGGCAGCGACGTCAACTGCGTCGCTGGCAGCGCAGTCGGCGGCAAGTTAACGTTAACGTTAACTCAAGCACTTGGCAGCTAACTTGGCTGTAATTGCTGCTCCGCTACGTAGCTCTTTTTAATTGTTGTAAACAAGCGCGCGCGTTCGGACTCAGCTTAAAAATAATAAAAACAAAAATTCTAAAGAAAACATTAAAATAAAGCAACGAAATTACAAATCAGCCGCGAGTTGTTTTCCGACACACAAAAACATTTGTTGACAGAGGTCATGAAGTATTCGTGAATTTGTTTTGTTGTGCGCCCATATGAAAAACATTTATGCAAATTAATTAATAGAAACGGCACCAAAAATTTCAAATTAAAAGTCTACAGAATTTGCTCAAAATAAACAAAATGTAAGCAGAGGCGTCAACAAAATCTCTCAATAAATTACTCAATATATATCTGTTTATAAGTGTACATACATAGCTAAATAGATAGATACAGATATACATATATGTATATATAACGAGCCGCATATAGTAATTCCATAGATATTTGCAATCGCTTCCTACTTTTCCATTTCGCGTGTTGCGCTTTTGTCTTTGCTCTGTATTCTATAGATTATTTGTTTTGTTTTCATTTCTTTATTATTTTTATAAATAATGCCATAGAGAATTATTTCTGTGCTTTTACAATGCTGAGAATGCGCTCCTCAATTACATAAAAATCGTCTGATTGAAATGGAATTGTCTATCGAACAAAAGTGCTAAGAATAAAAACTTTTATATGAATCGAGAAATTCATTTTTCATATCTGACAATTGAACGTACAAGAAATACAAATGTCAGGCAAATTTTGATTACAAACCCAATATGAATGACAGTTGTTATCAAGTGAAAGATCAAAGATAGAGTGAACCATAAGTCTAAAGCAAATCAAATATATTTACTTTACTTGTTTAAAAAAAAAAAGTGCTCTAGCTGGCACTTTGAAAAAATGGAGTGAAATTATCGATTTTTATTTATACTAATTGAAAAATGGATCGTGTTATCGATAACAATGGCAATATACAAGTTATGCTTAAAAATTAAGTGAAATTATAGATTTTTATTTATATTAATTGACAAAAAAAATAATTGAAATATATCGATAACAATGGTAAATGCATAGAATAGACAAGAATACATTTAATGTGTGGGATGTGTTATCGATAACAATGATAAATGCATAGAATAGAAAAAAATATATTTTAAATGTCAAGTCTTTAGCTTTTGGATTTACTCTAGCTCAACTCATTTCGTCAGCCTAATCAACAATATGGGGTCTGCCACGCCTCCTTCTGCCTGTCACATACCTTTCAATAAAATCAGTATGCCCTAATTTTCCCTTTTGCAGTGTATAAAAACCTTTTGCTGCCTGCATAAAAAACTGCATTTAATTTATTTAAAAATATATATAAATATATTTATTTATATACCAGGCATTGATGTTGTCAATTTAATTCATTCCCCTCGTTTTGAGTCCATTCTAATACAGTTATAATTTACTCTTTATGCAAGCGTTGAAAACTTGAAATTTTCCACTTGATTTATTCATTAATTGCGCCCTTAACGCCTGCAATTGTATAAAAAAAATTAATATGTATATATATACAAATTAATAAAAGAAAATTACAGTGTAAACAGCGCAGCTGCATATTAAGAACTGAGGCCTACAACACTTATAATTGCAAGTCGCTTAATGAGCGACAACTTGACGACTTTTATGAGCTGCAATCAAGTGTTAAGCTGCATACAATTGAATCTAATTGGATCTGCTTGTGCTCCTCTCCCCTTGATCCAGATAACAATTGACAAGTCAAAAAAAAAAAAAAAAAAAAAAAAAAACGTTGCTCAAATCGTTTAATCAGTAATAAACACACACTTATGCACTTATATCCCTATATATGAATATGAGTATAAATTTATGAATTGCTTTTATTTTTATCGAATTTAGATTTATATCTTTATTAACTGAGCAATTTATATGTGCATGAGCTTTATTTATGGCAACGCATTTAGTCTTATCATATTGGAATTTATACTTTTGATCAAGCTCAGTAAGATTTACTATATAAACAGTTAACTTTGTAAGCTGAAATATAACTGAATACTGCAGCTGAATAGCTGCCATAGCTCACACAACTTCTGAATCGACATTGAATTATTTGCTGACATAAGTCAAGTACGAGTCTTACATAGCACCTACATATCAGATCCTAAGCTGGGCGCAATCTATAATCGAATTGCGCCAGCTTCGGTGATCTTGGCATGTAGCTAACAATTGTTAACTCAAACAGAAGAGCACTTTTTTATGGCATTGCAGGCAGTAGGAAACGGCAGGTAAATGAAACAGAGCAAGGCACGAGCACGGGTAACACTTCCATACACTTTTACAGCCCGAACGAAATCAACTTGGCACCTTAATAAAAGCAGCACCATATGGATAGAGAGATACCGATACCAAGTTCGAGACCGGGCCGCGAATCACAAGTCAGATACATCATTTAGAAACGTTTATTGCTAAGATAAATTCAGCAAGGAGTTTAATAGCCACTATCAATATTTGTACAACAAATAAGCGACGAGCGCGACCGAGCTCAATGCGAGGCGGCGTAAAATGTCGCAGCCATAAGATAGAGACGAAATCGTAGCAGCAACAGCAGCAGCAACAGATGCGTAAGGCGAATTAACACAAACGCGTTAATACAATTAGTTTAAAAGTGAAAAATCTCATATACAATATATATATTTATATATACACATATATATGTATGATTCGATGAGGCGAAAAAAAAAAAACTGTTAACTAAATAATAAAATTAAAAAAAAAAAAAAAAAAAAAAAAACAAAATATATACGCAGCGAGGCTGTCGACAAAAAGCGCCACAACAAATTTGCAACTTTACACTCGTCGTCGGTTTTCAGTCGCGAAATGAAGCCACAGCCTCAGAGCTGAACCACAGAGCGCGTGTGCCAACACATACAAAAAAGAAATATAAAACGAAATATTACAATAAGAGCATCAAGTGAATATAGCTGAAACATGGTCGAGTTACTCAAGGCGCTCAATTTGACGGGCAATCTGCTGGCGGGCCTGGAAGACAACAGCCTGGAGAATGTATCGAATCCAATTGCACTGATCGCTGCCGCAGATCCGAGCATCAATGGGACGGCCTTGAATGTAACCACCACCACAACGACGACCACCACGCTGTCCAATGCCACCGCCAGCAGCAGCGGCGAGAAACTCCAATTGGATGGCTTCGATCTGCCGGGTAACTATTCCATATTGATCAATAAGCTGGAGCAGCTGGCGCTGGGCCTGGACTCGGCGCTGGGCAACTTCACCATCGATCGCCAGGAGGTGGAGATCAACTTGAGTGGTGCCTCGGCCAACGATGTGGCCGACGTGGCCGACGACTTGATCTTCAGCGATGTCCTGCCCGCTGCACGGCCGCCAACGACGCACATTGCGCACGGCTCGCGGATCTACACTGGCGAAGAGGAGGACTTCGCCCATGTGGTGAGCGACATTTGGATTGGAGTCATCCTGACGCTGCTGATTGTGTTTGTGATCTTCTTCATCTGCGCGTGCTTTTTGTATCACAAGTTTCAACAGTGGAAGAATTCATGTGAGTGCACGCCACACGGCGTATACTTGATAAGCCATTAAGACAACATTGTGTATACGAGGTGTGGGACAGAGACAAGACAAGAGACTTTACAGCCAGCTTGGTTTGTGATATGTGTTAATACTTTATAGTAAACTCATTTCAAAATTCATTAATAACAAATAAATTATCTGTGGACTTTAATTATAATTAACGAACAATAAGACTCAGACACATTCAGCCTATGAATGCTTCCACTCAATAATGTGATTCAGGCAAAAAAACAGTGTGGTAAGACAAAAGAGCTTACGCATCGATTTGGATAAGAAATTAAAATCAGAAAGCAAATCTAAAAACATATGGACACTTGCTATGCCTTTAACGCCCATGATATTGATTTTTGTGGTCCGACTGTCTCTCTCTCTCTCTCTCTCTCTCTGAGGGAATGACGGCCATTTAGAGGCAGACAAATTTTAGCACCAAGTATTTGCATAGCATGCTGACTGCTAGAACTCTCTTGAAATAATTCCGTAGAATATGGAAATAAACAAATAACTTATTTATCTTGCCAATTGGCAAATAACTGTGGGCCTCAAAGCATAGGCCGAAGCAGAAACATAAGTTCTGTTCGGTTCTGTTCCGTTGTTGGGCTGTCGGGCGAATGCTGCTATCATAATTTGTGTCTGGCTTTGTTCAATTATAAATTATAAGGCAATTAGCTAATAAATTCTAAACTGCAAATGATTAGGCTCTTACGCACACAGACACGCAGACACAGACAGAGAAATGCATTTAGATCTTATCTCTGTGGGGCGTTGGCTCTGCCTTTTGCTTGACAGCCGAAAACAAACATAACATTTTCAGTTAATTAAAGCTGCAGTCAAGTGGCCCATCGGCTGGGCCAAGACCTGGGCCAGCTACGTACTATGCAATCAAGTGCTCTGTTTGCTCAGTTCGAGGCTCGATTACACTGCAAATGTGTGTTAATGAATTCAAATTGTTTTCTACTGCTGCTGCTATTGCTACTGCTGCTGCTGCATAGTGAACAAAAGAATCGTCATCTCGATTGCTTGTTAATGGCCAAATACCGAGTCACTGGGCCACTTTCGTTTTGATTAGCCCAGCAATTCAGCTTAGGTGCATCGATTGACACTGGCGAGGCGGCCATCAAATGCAGGCAGCAGCCGAAGGCAGCTCAAGTGCCTCACAAGGGGAAGGGGCTGCAGGCGAGTCAAGTGGCTTGTGGTGAATGAACGATATCCATTTCAATGGGCCAGATAACGAACTGGGCAATAAGATAGTAATCAAGTCCCATGCCACTGCTCTATTCATATTTGTTTGCCAACAAAAGATTTCCAGCAAGAACAATGCGTTCTACAAATAGACAGAGCTTTGCTGCTCTCGTTTCCTCGACTCGCCTCTCTGTTTAAGATTCTTGAAACCATATGGAACTCAGACTTACGCCATTATTATGCAAATATTTAAAAAATTATTTCGCCAATTAATGCAGGTCCAGAATATTGTAAATAAATATGCAAGAAAAAGGAAAAACTCAGTCGAATCTCAATTACACTGTAAAGCTAATAAAAAAAAGTAATTAGCGCAGCGAAAGAGTGTGTCAACATATTTTATATTTTGAGCACATGTGCACACACTTAACAAACAATGCGACGTCACTCATACGCAACGTTGTACGCATTGTCGGCGCTGTTACGGTGCGTATGAGTGACGTTTTTTCTGGCAGTTCACGGCTGTTTAATTTAGCTTTAATGAGCTTGTTTATCTTTGTTTGGGCTGTTGTTGCTGCTGCTGTCGCTGCTGTTGTTGGAGTTGCCTGTGCTGTCACATTTTGGAGGCGCTGCGTGATTATTATCATAACTGTTTTTGGAAACAACTTTATCGTTGTTTTTTTTTTTTATAGTTTTATTTAATATTTTAGAGGAAAAACTTTTGCTGAAAGCTGTGAAAATAGATATGAAATGTGAAAAAAGTTCAGAAAAATTTAATTTTATATTTAATTTTTAATGGCGATTTAAATAAAAATATATATTTTTATTTATCAAAAATATGTAGAAAATGCGAAATCATTAATTCAAAAATTTAGCTCGCTCTTACATATTTCATATGAAAAAAATATACATATTTAATTCTTATTTTTTCCCCCAATTTCATTCATATTACCATTCTATGTAGAACATTTTTCCAAGTGTACTCTGAAGGTGTTTATTTCGAGCATTCTTTATGATACTTTTGGAGAATTAAAATCCTCAAAAAAAGTCGTTAAACTTTTCCATGCGTCGCCCATCCACACACCGCCCGCACTTCAATACAATGTCTGAGTGGCTGGCAAATAAAGCTGCGAAATGTTAATTAAATTAGGCATTGATTAAATTTGCAAGTAATTAATAAAGCGTAAATTGTAATGGCAATGCAGCCGCAGCAGCAGCAGCAGCAGTAGCAGCGCATCATCATCATTATCAACATCATTATGGCGTTGTCAGTTGGGAATTAAATGTGACTTTCACTTGCCCAAACCCCGCTTTAGCCTTAAGCAGCTTTGACGTCAATACATTTCCCACTTGGCTATGAAATGTTTTTCACAGCGTGCAACAAATTTAAGCCGCTTATTCATAAGTAGATAAATTGTATATGTATGCGTGTATATGTATACAGAATTATATTATACGCATGCTAATATTATTTGTTATTTTCGATTTATTGAATCGCACGCAAATTTCGCAAAAATATGCTAAATGAATAAAAACCCCAGACCCCAAAAAGCCAGCGAAAACCAACAGAAAGGCAAAGCGAATTAGCAACAGTAACTAAAATCAAGTTTGTTATTGTATTGCCAATGCTAATACCCGTAACAGGCCAATAACTAAACAGAGAGTAGCCCACAAAGCAGCCAAAGCCGTTGGGGGCAGCGGGCGGAGTTGGGCTAACCAAAGTCGACATGATGCTTCAGTTTATAAGCCACAAAACGTGTTGGATTTGTTTCAATGGCGCTAATTGCTTAATTGAAACTGTTTTTGCATTGCATTTACTGTTAGCTTACTTTCCGCCCGCCCCGGCCCCGACTCCGTTACTGCCCCCGTCACTGCCTTCCGCTGCCCTTCCGTTCTTCCGCACTTCGCGGCCGACGCGCCTGTTGTGCCGTTCATAGCAAAATGTCAATTAGTATTTGCCTGCTAAAAGCCAAAAAATCGACAATAGCCCAAATTAGCTGTTCGCTTGACACATACACACACACATATACATTCACACTCACACACCCTGCCGCGCCACTCCTCAATATTCCAACATGTGTCACGCTGTCGTATACGTAATATACACTTTGATTAGCATTGTGCATACGCCACGCCACGCTCGGCATTCGATATTGGAAATGCATTGCGAAAAATTGTTCCATTTTAATTACAAATTTGTAAATATATGTATGTATGTATGTATATAGCCGATTCGCAGCACATCATCATCATAATTGGCCGAAGGGCAGCTGCATGCAGTTGCTGCTGCAGCATATTTCAATAATTGAAGCACGCTATATTTTTAATTAGTTAAATGCGCGTTTAATTAGCTTTATAAATTATGCACATGCAGCGGTTAGTTGAAAACCCTGCACAAGTTTTTTTATCTCTTTTTTTTTTTGTAATATTATTTACTGGCCTCTGCAGTTGTATCTCTTTTTTTCGATGCTCGCTGACTTTGGAGTTTATTTTTTGTATAATTTATGAATATTTGCTTAACGGACAGCAATGCTGGAATGATGGTCTTTCAGTTATGATTTATTTATACATTTTTGGCATTTTTTTACCACACTCCGTTTGTTTGTCTGTTTATTTGTTTGTCTTTTCGCTGTCGACGGAAATGAACTGTGATTTTTATTTATTAATCGGCGCATGATTTATGTATAAATAATTGTAATGCATTTTTTAATACGCGGATGAGCTGTCAGCAACGGTATTAAATTACGTGCGGCACGCCAGCTAGAAAGAGCGAAAGCAAGTCAGAGAGAATATACTCAAAGTGGCTGAACTGCAGAGAATAAATTAAATCATCAAATATGCTCAAATTTAAATGAAATAATTTGATATGCAAATTGCCAAATTTAATTATCAATGCGAAAATTCTAAAATTCAGCATT